TTGCTCGCTTGCAATATTTCTAACGTCAACATTATCCAGTCCTGGAAATAAAATAAAACAACCCGTATTTCGCCTAATAAATCTATCAACATTATAAAATCCTTGAGCGAGATAAACATAATTACACTGTTTGTTACGTGACAGTGAGAAATATGATCTTATTTTATTCATCTCCATGTTATTTAGAGGAATATCGTCAAAAACTACTATCTTATGTTCATCTGCATCAAGTTGATTAACTGGAATAAGATCTTCTGGCTGCCTAATTATAAAAAAATCTTCACCAGCTTTAAGGTCATCACGAAGCTTGTTATTATATTCGCTTAATAACTCATACTTATCTTGCTGTGGATTGATTGTGTAAATATAAACTCTGTCGTAGTTAAAATTATCACAAAGAAGCAAATTCATAAGCAAATTTATTTTCCCCGATCCAGTTCGCCCAACAATAAGATAATGACAATCAGGAAGTTCATTTTTATGTTTATGCTTCACTAGTCTCTCTGTATCAAAGTTTAATATCAACGATTTTGCCATTTTTTATAATATTAAACTAGTGTTGATAATTTTATCTAGGACAGTAAATAATGATCTACTATACAAAATTTGGAACACTATCAGATTTATCCACAAAAGGTTACCAAGGTGACTTATCCAAATATGCAACTCTTGATCAGCTCAAAAATGAAATCAATAATTTACTAAATATTGCCAGCGTAGATTGAGATGAAGTCGTCATTTTCCAGGACAAAGAAGGACGATTAAAGACGAGTAACGTAAAACTGTCAGATGTAGTTGTACGAAATCCAAGTGGAAAAGTTGTTATGACACAAAACAAGATTACAGATCTTGGAAACCCAACTGAGGATGGGGATGCTGTCACTAAAAATACGTCAATGATTGTGACGCTTCAATTAATAATGAAATCACAGCGCTCAAAACTGATTTTACCAATCACGTGAATACATTTTTAAGTTTTCGCAGAAACATAAACAAAATTAGCGATGAATTTTTTGGAAATCCATCAAATGTTAACATTACACTCGCTAATATTAACACAAAACTCAATGATATTAACACAAAACTCAATGATATTATTAGTGGAATTCCTAATATTGTTGAGAAAACGAATATGATTAAAATGCCTCACAAACAGATTAAAAATATTGTGTATACTGTTGCATCCGGTTATAGTGGATGGACATCACAAAACAAATCTATCAAATATATTGCAGAAGTTACCGGTGTGTATAGATTGTCAGTGTTTAGCAGTGTAAAGTTTAAAATATTTACCACATATTCATGGCGTTATTCAGATGATGACATATTTGGAATATTATCTGTAATATTAAACGAAAATTCTGAGGAGGAATTTATACTTGAACCAACTGATGAAAATTTTGTAGGTCCTTATCGGTGGTGTTTGGAATTTGTAGCTGATTTATCATAACTATGTAAACAAATATTGTAATGAAAAGAAGTATAGTTGATTTTAATCACATTTCAAAAGATATTCCAGAACAGGATGTGGACGCACTAATACAATACTATAAAAATTATCATTAAAAAACTTTGGTGTGTAAAAAAATGTTACAAATACTACAACAAGATCCTTCGAGTAATATCATATCTACCCTTGTTAATGACCAGTTCTGGTATAATTTCAAGTGGGGTATCATTAAATCCTTTTTTGTTAATCATATCCGCTATTGGTGTTTCACTTACAGCGGCGTGTAAAAAAGTAGAACCAAGACTTTTGATAAAGAAGCACGGTTGTTTAACATCAATTAAAACTTACAAGAAACTACTTGATCAGATCCGGTCTTACCTACGAGGAGTTAAATATAATATGGATGATTTATTACGAGAATTTCGTATTATTGACAATATGTTAACAGATATTCTACCAATGAGGGTTAGCAAGTATGAAAAAAATATCACAAAAAATATGAGTAACATAAAATTTTATCTAAACTTAAGATATAATATAACTAAAATAATATCATTTTCATTCTAATGCTAGTTTTATTTCCGCCTTTTTTAACTGAAACGTTCTAATGTACAGTTTAATTTTCATCCTGTTATCTGATAAAAAATTTGTGGTAAAACCTATTTGCCGTCTTTAGAATAATCATATTCCACACATACGCTGTTCTAACAAATTCGTCACTTCTGTTGACAGAGCTTATCGCATTCCAACACCTGTTTTTTTGTCTGGTTACAAAATATCTGTCTACATAGTAGTAGTAGTAGAGGAAAATGAGGGTTTTGGCGGGGGTGGGGGAGGAGGTGTGGGGGTGGTGGGCCAAAACCCTCATTTTCCTATGAGGGGGTGGGGGATAATTTAGGACTGTAATTTATACTTGTTTGGAGGGTAAAAAAGTGAGCTAAAACCCTCATTTAATTTATACTTGTTTGGAGGGTAAAAAAATAAAGTGAGCTGAAACCCTCATTTCCCAATTTTGGAAAAAGGGGTGGGGGATAATTTAGGACTATAATTTATACTTGTTTGGAGGGTAAAAAAAATAAAGTGGGCTGAAACCCTCATTTCCTATTACTACTATTACTTGTTTGATTATTGGAATTCTGTGCAATGGGAAATATTCCTTAGCCCTGAACAATTAGTCAATTATTAGGAGCAGACGTCACGGAGAGAAAGTGTTAGTGAGTTTCCAAGATGCCATGGTCAATGAGTAGCGAACTCAGACCCAATCCGCTTGATTGTCCCTGTCGTGATATAGCATTTTTAAAAAAACTAGTGGTGTACATCGGTTTTGTGACTGCAGCGGCCGTATTTATGGTAGTAAACCGGCAAATTACACAATGGGATAAATGAAAAAGGACTTGGCAGATACCGTTTATGTCGCCATAGGGGCATATGTGATGTAGTTTTACTGGTATGATGTACCTTGAAACGGTAGATCAACTGGCCTCAGGTGGCGCAGTTAAAGTAGTTTCTACGGGGTGAACTACTGGCGGAACGGAATGTTAATGTACAGAAACTATACGGATGTGCGGTTGATGGTTATTTGACAAGTTGTAAATAATGTTTTCTTACATTGATTAGAGTAAAATTTATGTATAAAATGGACACTTCAGGCTTTCCAACTTACAACTGAAGTTGTATAGAAATCCTTGGAAATTTGGGGTAAACTTATGACTTCTAGCGGGATTCGCTCCAGGGTTTAGACACCGATCGGTCAAGCAAAAGACCCCTGGCTTGTAACAATATTATCTTTTTAATAATAATAATAATAATAATAATAATAATAATAATAATAATAATAATAATAATAATAATAATAATAATAATAATAACACAACAACAATAATAATAATAATAATAATAATAATAATAATAATAATAATAATAATAATAATAATAATAATAATAATAATAATAAAAATGATGATAATAGTAATAATAATAATAATAATAATAATAATAATAATAATAATAATAATAATAATAATAATAACAGTTACCTTAATGCCGGGCAAAGTTACAAACATTTCATATAAAATATCCCCCCCCTGCTTCAGATCCAGACCCTGTACATCACAACCCCACTCCCTTTCCCCGATCACCTTCCTTTTATGGTTGCATCTATAATGTTTGTCCATAACATATTTATCCCTCCCCTCAAAAAATAGGAATAAACAACTCTCCCGCACCAAAATAGGAATAACAATGTCACAACTTGACTATTTCAATTTACGATAGGCATATTTACGTACCTGTGTGTGAGTGATTAAGCGACAGCACACAAACATATATTAATAAGAACAGCCTTTAATCTACAGTAAATCATGTACAAAATTACATTGCTAACACTTCGTTTAATAAAGAAAATATTACATCAATTAATTACATGATTCAAGCCAAATTCAAAGGAAAGGTGTCAATGGTTCTATGTTTATAAAAGTATCTGGCCTTGAGTACTATAGTGCTCATGCACACCGGTCTACACTGGACATATTGTATTGTTCATTCAGTAAAGATAGATGCTCCTACACCAAGCTGATTAAAATCATATCTCCTCTGTCTTAAGTGAAGATCTGACAGCGAATACTTGTCACGGGATTTTATAAATCAATTTATTCATTAAATTCTTTGAACAACGATACCCTATGGTGATTCTGCATTTTGTGCAACTGTTTCAAAAACAGTGAGTTACGTTCCTCCTATACCACACGTGCGAAGTGCTTTCGATAGAAGAAACCGATATTCATCAAGCACACAATGTAAGGCTACAGTGTGTATTAATGCCTCACTGTAGGACGAAATCTTTACCTTACGGAACGTCCTGTCAGTGTACAGTTTACTTAAAGACTTGCATCATCAGTTGTAGAGCTGATGGGAGCTGACCATGGTGCTTAGAGCCGACTGTAGCAGTTGTGGAGCTGGTTCATGGTGATCAGAGCTGACCGTCAGTTGTCTGGGTTGGCGGGATAAATGCTGTAGAGCTGACCATGGGATTGACCATGGCGGCTGTGGTGCTGGTCATGGCGGGCCGTGGAGCTGATGATGGAACTGGCGACGGAGAGGGTTGAACAGCGGCCGTAGAACTAATTGAAAAGTGTGTTACAGGTTAAGTAGCAGGTGATCGAGAGTTGCTGACCGATTGCTGGGCGCTGATTGTTTGACTGACCAAGGAATTGTATGGTGGTCGGTGACTACCTGTAATGCTGACTGCTTGATTGACCAGTGTAACTAGTAGCCAAGCATGCAAGTGACGGAGTGTTTTGTGTAACTCCATCCATGTAATTAGTTAGCCGTGGGCTAAGTATGGGGTTTGTTACACCCAGTATTTTGGAACTGTAAATATATTTTGCTTGATATCTGTCCCATTGTTTCATCATTTTGCCATTTGAATAAATACCTTATTTTGTTTTACAAAGAGTGAATACGTCAGTTTGATATGAGTGTAAGGTATGTAATTTTTACCATTCGAGTAAAACACATCATTCTTTCCGTCGTGTAAAATTACTGTGAAACCGCTCCGATGACCTAGTGGTTAGAGCGTTCGCCTCTGATTCGGAAGGTCGTGGGTTCGAATCCCGGCCGACTTGTTCCAAAGACTTTCAAAAATGGTACTAACAGTTGCCTCGCTTGACGCTCAGCATTAAGATGTTTGTGTTAGAACTGGTTATCATGGTGTCAGGATAATATGACTGAATGGGACATAATGCTACATGTCTGCGGGTTGATGTCCCAGTACAAGACATCGCTATAAACTGTCCTACTGCAGCCATCGTAGCGATATGACTGAAAAAGTTTTAAAGCTACATTTTAAAGATCTAAATCACACACACACACACACACACACACACACACACACACACACAAACACATTGTGAATCATTAACCTTTGTCCTTCTACTATGCAAGTCATTTACTTGTATTAACATTTTTGTTACATTATTAGGTTCTTGCAGATTGTGTTAATTTGTGCAATATTTGGATCTTATACACGCACGTGTTAATCATTATTCTTTGTTCATTAGTGTCGCTGATCAATGAAAATTATATTTGTATCACCATCATAAGTGTTCTGTTATAAATCCGAAATACAACCCAGTTATCTTATTACACCACTTAGGCGTTAAATTCTAGAGACTTATGTTCTGATCATAATTACCACTATTATCAGCTAATCAGATGAAGTCTTGTATCGTTGTGTTTCGGAAACTGATCAGTATGACTGAAGAGCATCAGTTTGTGCCGAATGATTGGAATAACTTTTAAATATCTGAAAGCTGCACTTCCATTGGCTATTCTAAGGTCACCAGAACAGGACTCCTAAGCAGTCCCTGTCCGATCTTAATGTAGGACTGATTTAAATCAGATTGGCTCTCACACGGGGAACAATGCTAGTCCTCATAGGACTAGATTATGCGAACCCACACAGGATAGATAATGTGCACACACGCAGGGAATACATATATGTTGACACAGGGTGGATTATATCTGCCCACACAGGATAGATATCAGCACCCACACAGGGAACAATTACATTTTCACACAGGACTGAATTATTTCTCTTATTTGCTTTTCCAGTTCAACCTAGGTAGTAAAACAGCTAGACTGTCTGTGTTTACACATGCGATATACTAGGACACTGATAATCAAGCTAGCAAGCCACATACAAATAAACTATTAGGATTTACTAAGTACTAAATCATTCATAATGATTCCGACATTTATTCAAAACATTAACATACATGCAATTATTATGTGAATTCTTTACTATCATTACATTGCGATTCGATATTCAACCAACATAACTAAGATGTCTACAAAAACAATTGGTGATATTTATTACATGAATGAGTGATTTCAACTTACTAACGTGAAACATAGTGAACTTTGAGAGATGAATGCTGCACCATAACTGGGATAATATTGTCACGCTCAGCGTGACACGTACCAATTAACATTGATGTATGGGCTTGCTATCCTGAGGTGGTTTAACCTCTCTGCTTGGGGCATGATTTTTTGATTACAGGCTGGAGAAAGTGAGAGAAGTAAAATAAATACGTTAATGACTTTTACAACTCTATGGCCACAAAAGTAAATAACAGAAAAGAAACAAAACCAACAAGTTTTGTAAAACTTAACAATTTAATCATGAAAGCTATAAATGAAAAATATAAGAGGATGGTTTCATGATGAAATTTGCTTTGTTGATATAACAGAACGGCTAAATTCATTTCTTGTAAATGTGATTATTTCATCATTAGGACAAAGTTATCATTCAAATGTCATGTTCAATTTAATTTTTTTACATGCAATTTATTAACTTGTTATATTTGAAATAGGGACTTGTATTGTTCTATCCTATATCTCTGCCCATGTCTCTTTTATTCCATCCTTTAATTTAATTTGTATACTATTATTTACTCTATCTGGGCAATGATGCCGTAGTCGACCATCATCTAGATAACGATAACCAAACCACATTACTGCCACGTAACAAGTGGTCCCCAAAACATAGGGAGTATTAGAGATACACAAAAATATCTAATAATATAAGTTAGATAGAGGTATGAAATATTTCACATGATACATGTACTACTATTACGTGTACTCTCATAATTAAGGACTTCAAATTTATGATATAAATGTATTAAAATTGCAAGAAATAAAACATACAATATATGTGAATGTATACTAACAGCTTGTTCATTGTTCATCTCTACACGATTGAGAAATGTAAATGTGCAGACTGTAAAGCTTCTACCTCTTGCAATCCTGTAGAAAGAATGCTTAACAATTCAACTTTTTATATGCAAAGTTCCTGCTAACTCTCCAGCGGTCTTGTTGGTCTTATAGGTCTTAAGATGCCACGCATGGCATGAGACCTCCAAAGGACGTGTGTGCCTCCAAAGGAAAAGCAATAATCAGGTTCCTTCTCTGGTCCAGTTGTGTGTACCTATAACTTGTGTCATTTTTCTTCTTTATCACTGTGATTGTCTACAGCTAAATTTTGTTGTATGGTTTCTATCTAAAGATATTAAGAGTATAAGATTGCTTAGGATCTGTAAATAGATGCATACATTTGTGTTTACAGTAAGTAATAATAATTTTATCATTAAACATGTTGAAGAGTTTGGAGTTATTTCCCATTAGTTAGGTCGGTCAGTTGGATTCTCAGAAGAATTAAGTTCTTTCATATTGGACAGGTTAAATCTTGTGGGTTCTTTACGATGCTAGAGATTTGAATTGTCACGTAAGAGTATACGGAAAATGCCTGATTTACTTCTTACGCCTGTATAAAAGATCATTTGGATGTCAAGAGCCACACCTGATGGAACGGCCACTACGGAGAACAACTTGTTTTTTTTTAAATCAAATCAGCCATGCTGTATCGTACAATAAAATAAAATAACCGGGCATCTATAGGCAATATACTGACTTCAATGTACGTATAATTCAGTTAGAAACATTACACCTGGGGTATTTCTGTAGTATTAAATGTTTTACATAGCAAACATAGTGCGAGTTTAAATGGTTTCATAAAAATCACGTTCTAGAAATATACTATACATTTACTATTAAACGCTACTTTATATTTATTTATGAGGGTTCCTTTTTTGCTTCAGCATAGATATTTAGGCGCATTTTATTATTTTAATAAATACAAGGAAGAGCAATAAGAAATAACGTGAAAAACCATGTTGCCCTTCATAAACTTCAAGTATGTTTGTTCAAGGCCAATTCAGTCTCATTCTAAAAAGATAAAATATTTTTAACGGAAAATGTATTGGTATATTACCATTACAATTGAGGGTTATATAGACTGGTTAATGGATACTTATGACAGTAAATTGTCTTTGTTTTTTGAAGATCAGGTCAAAGCTAGCCAAATTTTTCGAATTCCTTTTGTTTGGAACCAATACTATAAATATTTTCTAGTAAAAAAAAGTCAGTCTGTACAAAACAATCTTAGAAAACTCGATCTAACTAGAAAATATTAAGACACAAAATTGTAAAGAAGAAGAGATTCTTAAGGATCAGTCAAATTCCGTCTTTTTATCTGGGGATATTTTCGCCAGGTTCTCTGCTTCCTTTCTCTCACCGCTGAACGTCAACTTCGACTATATATTGTCATGAGATCAAAACAAAATGGTTGCATATTGAGATAACTCGTTAATCATTCTTGTAAGGAAAAAAAGATAAAATCTATTCTTACCATCATATAAAAGGTAATTGTATGGACAAGATGTGTCAATAAAGTTATCGTAATAAACTGATCTAAATTTTATAATTATTTCGATACAAGTGTAAAATATATAGCTTACCGTTTGTGACTGTTTAGGTGTTTGGCTAGGGAGCAACCCTTGCCTAAAAAAAAAACCTTAAACAAACATGCAAACTTTAATTTCTTCGAATAGCTTTTGCGGTGTTCTTTACTGCGGCATACCATTTTGTAGTTTAGTACTGTGGTCGAGTGAATAAAGTCTGATACCACGTCATTTTTTATTTAATTCGTTATCAGATTAATTAGGATCAATTACCAAACTTCCGTTGTTAATCACGGTACCATAGTTGGCGCTGTTAAGGGAAATGCACAAATAGGACGGATTCTTGTTATAGAACAACCTCTTTCCTAGGAATATATTGACTACATCTTCTCCTGATAATATTTTATGACTGTGTTGACAATGGTTACTACTTTGTTTATACAGGACATCCGCTGAAGTAAAGTCTTTATTAGGGAATGGCGTAAACAGATGTGGACTGTTGATAAACGAAACTTACTAGCCCGTCGGACTATTAACATTATGAAAGTTATTAGTCCGACGGGAATTCTACTAGCCTCGGGCTAGCGGACTACCATATATCCAGTTATAGGTATTCATGTAACACCATCAATCCCGACTAGAAAATGTCGTCCAAGACTAAACACTATAGTGAAAAAAAAAGGCAACTCGAGAACAGGATAGGTAGTAGCGTAATTTTATAGTAAATACAGGACATTCATTAAAATATGATTAAGGCGATAGTAAGATTAAGCATAATTTGTTCGTTTCCCTTTAGCAAGATAATTTATATAAATTTATACAAATAGTTTAATATCCCTCTGTTCGCAAGTCGAGTGATTGCTCGTTTTTTTTTTTTTTAAATAGGGAAAGCAAAGTTAGACAAAACATTATGTGTGTTTTCGGTCGGCCAACCATTCCTATTTTCTCAGTCCTGAACCTATTTTTTTTCCCCGCAAGGTTAACAAGACCTGCCTATTTTAATTTTAAAACAAGTACATTAGGAAACACGTATATTTTCTTTGTATGGCCTAATCGACGCTTGAACAGTGAAATAGTCAACCGTCTGAAATGTATGTGTACCTAACATTAAACTTGGTTAATGCAGTCGGGTGTGAGATGCTTGTACATTGTGTGTTGAAATAGCAGGGTGTGGACTTAAATCTCTCATAAACATAATAATTCTGGCAAACATTTCGATCGTTCTGTCGCACGCTAGAAAAAGCATATATATCCTGAGATTTGGACCAAAGGGGGAATGGAATAAAGACCATGCGGCAAGTCATACTTTATTATTCATTAACTAGACACT